CCAAGCTCTCAGCTTCCCTTTAATGGTGCCATCAGATCCAGAATGCAGAGACATTTTGGTGTCACTCTCTACCTGTTCAGGAAACAGGTACTAGTGTAGTGTCAGGGCCAAAGATAGGCCTGGAAGAAGTTAGAGAGGAATTTAAATAGTTTAGGAAGCTGGTTGGACTACATACCTGAGAAGTACTGACAAGACGGTTAGATAACATGAGCCTGTCCAGTGTGCTAGGAGCTTCCAATAGGCTCTGTTTTGACAAGTGAAATACGTAGTTGTCATTTGAGGGAACTGAGAAGAGCGAATAATTCTTCACCAGATGGTTACCCTTTCTACCATAGGCTGTAAGGGGTATATCGCAATTAGAACTCTTCCATATGTAAAACTTTAGTGCCCTGAGATGGTAGCACCCCATGGAGGAGTTATTTAATATAACTAAGGATTCCATTTTCTGTGGGAAAATGATGAATAGTTAGGAGTTGTCATCAGTATATACAGACCTGGAACCTGCAAAAATTGCTGTGAAATTGCCCAATAAACATGACTTTTTCTAAAAATGCTCCAGTTTGGATATGGATAATTATTTAACTTATACAAAATATAGGAAGAGTTCCCAAACACTGTGTGGGAAATAAAGTAAACTGTACAGGTTTTAAGGATAGGAAGAAAAATTTAGGATGGTTGAGTTGAATGGAAAGGATAAACAAAAGCAACAATTTTGTAACATTGTAATAACTCTATGGTGACCGAAGAGTACTAGACTTATCAGAGTGATCACTTTGCAAATTATATAAATGTCTAATCATTATGTTGTAAACCTGAAACTAATATATAATATTATATGTCAACTGTGATTTAAAAAATAATTTAGCCCTGGCCAGTGTGGCTCAGCTAGTTGGAGCAGCATCCCATAAACAAAGGGTGACGGTTCGTTTCCGAGTCAGGACTGGTACTTGGGTTGCGGGTTTGATCCTCTGTCCGGATGCATGCTATCCCCACTGGTATGGGCACATTTAGGAGGCAACCAATTGATGGTTCTCTCTCCCATCAATGTTTCTCTCCCTTTCTCTCTAAAAACAATGAAAAAAAAAAAGTCCTCAGGTGATGATAACAAATAATAATAATAATTTCTTTTTTAATTTTAAAGCAACAATTTTGAGAAAGATTTCAAGAATGAGTAGTCAGTTCCATAGAAGCCATCCAAAGATTTTTGGGAGGTCCAGAATGCAGGGAAAATGAGGAATAGGAAAGAGGAAAATGATAAGGGCAAAAAATAAGTGAAATTTAAAATCAACCAAAAAATGAAATTCACTTAGTTACGATCCTTAAAACAGAGAAATGGATTGAAGTTTGAGACAAAAATAAAGCCAATAGGTAACACCTTTTCACTGTAAGACAGTTAACATTTAGGATGAGAGGAAAAATAAAGGGAGGTCAACTCTGAAGGCTTGTAAGGAGGCGGCTGAGGTCAGCCCAACCTCCCAGTAACAAAATTACCTTTAGCACAAGCCCCATGGCTGTCGCCCAGCCTTGCTGTAAGAAACATCCCCTAGGCAGGTCTGTGTGCTCTGAGTACGGAGCCTGCGCTCTGTGCAGGTTGGGTACTGATTAAACAAAGATGAAAAAGATAGTGTCTGCATTTAAGAGCACTCTTCAGCAGGGAGACCAGGCTGGCAGATAAATAGCCCTCAATTCAGTGTCATAAAGGCTGACCTTCCCACAGGGGACCACACAAGTTGAACCGTATCAGTCTCACTGGGAGGGGCCAGAGAAGGTTTTACCGAAGTGACAGAGGGATGAGACTTTGAGGATGAATAAATAAAGCAGCAAAGGGCCTGAAGCAGAGAAACTGTAAGAGCAAAGGTTCAAAGGACAAAATTCACACACCTCTAGTCTCTATCCCCTCACCCCACCTTGCTACTGATTCTGAGGTTTCCTGTGTGAAAGAGGCAATATTTTTCTAAGTGGTGAAATGTTGGTGTGCCTAGAGTATAGGTGGGGTTAGGAGTTATCAATGCGAGGATAGAAAAACAAGTTGGGCCTGATTGTGAAAGGCCTCCAGTGACGATTAGCAGTTTACCCTGCACAAAGGGCTGCTCTCTCCAAGTTCTGGGAATAAAATCTTGCAGACAGATGACTACTCAGTAGTGGAAGAGGTATGTACAGGTAGAACAATGAGAACAATGAGAAACTGGTAGTCCATTGAGGAGGCGACAGCAGCAGGTTAGATGAGAGATGATAAGCCTTAGAAATAGGTCAGGATCAGACATTTCCAGGTAGGACTGATAGAATCTGGTGGCCATCCACCTCCATGATATGTGGAATTGGGTCTATCGGGAGCATGATGGTGTTGGTGCTGTGAAGCATATGGAATTTACAGCCTGGCTGGCCAAGTTCAGCCTGACCCTGGCATTTACTAGCCCTGTGATTCTGAGCAAAGAAGGAACATTTCTTGAGTTCAGTCCTTTTCTGTGAAAATAGACATAATGTTACATTTTTTTTGTAAAGATTGAATAACAATGTATTGAATTTAATATAGTGTCTGGCACAAAACAAGTAGTCCATACATTCGAGTTCCCTTCAGCTGGCATTCAGGACCTCCTGTATTTTGTTCCACAAGGATCTTTATAGGCAAGAGGCGCGCTCCCCTGAACCCATACCTTCTCTCCAAAAATATAGGACTCTATGCTACCATAGGTAGTTAGCTGTTTAGTAATAAGAAAGAGAGCAAAGAGAATTGGACATCGATCTTAATAAACTGATCAAAAAGGGGAGCATAAGCCGGTTTGCTTAGCCAGGAAGGTAGAGCCTCACACACTCCAGGGGATTTCAACATTTCTCCACCAGGGAGATTAATACTCCGTTCCCTGCTTCGATTCCAATTGTTCTGAGGTACAAGGTGAGGTAAGCGCATGCATAATAGAAGTCAAAATGGCGCAGGGGGAGGTGTTTGACCATATAGGCCTGTCAGTGTAACTAGGAGTGGACCCATCATAAGCGCACAAAAGCTTGGGAAGTTAATTGGTTATTTTGAAAGAGCTTCTGGTTATAACCTCAGGGGGACAAAGAAGCAGCTTCTCTCGCTCTCTTACTTTCTCTCTCTCTCTCTCTCTCTCTGTATGATCTGCACTCAATCCATTTGTTCATGTGTTCTCTCTCGTCTGGGAACACATGCAACCCCGTGTGTCTAGCAGCTATGTGGGCCTGCAGCAGACATGCAGGCTCCAAAGGATCAGGCTGTAATATGAAACAGAAACTCTGGGCCCTGGCCTTGGCTTTTGCCTTGTTGAGGACACGATTGAACTTTTTTCATGGCAGGACGGATGGAGGTGGGATACAGCGGCAGGTATCTACCTGAATAAACCTTGCCAGACCATTCTCCCATGAATGGGTCTTTGGAATGCTTTCCTCACAATCCTGTGGAAAATCCTGATTTCCATTGGCAATGCATTTACTGTTTCTCAGATGTGATCTTTTATTTCTCACGTCTTTGGCATTGTATTTCTTTCCTTGGACTATCCTTCCTCTCCTCAGTTCTCAATGCTCCTTTAAAGGCTCTGCTTCAGATTGTACTTCCTCTAAGGACACATCCTCCTTCTTCTCAGGTAGAAATGATCTTTCTTTCTGTTAGCCGTCCAAAGCACTTTATTGGAACCATCCTAATGAATGGTACTCTATGCTGCATTTTACCTGTCCATTTTGGATATTGTGAACAGAGGTTGCCCAGGTGGAGTCATTTATGTCCAAGGAACTACCACAGAGCTGGGAAACCATCACATTTGTCTTGCCCTCCAACCAGCATGTTTTTTCATGAACTTTTCCACTTTCAGTTGTGCCTAAGCTTTTTCTCCTCTTCAATACGATACCCAGATCATCTGTGTTTTTCACTTTGAAAGGTGCAACACATTGTGCACCTTTCATTTGCATATGGGGGTAAGCCAACCCTTATTGACTCAGCCAGAATCCTTTCTTTACATAAAAAGGACAGCAGTGTAGCCCAGGCCTTCAGAAGCCCTGCCTTTCTTTGTTTTCCCTGGACCACAATTTAGGTCACTCTCTCAGTCTGTGCCCTGGATTGTAATTCCTCCTTTGCTCAAATAAATGGTTTTTATTCTTAATTAACATTGTCAATGTTAATATATTTTTTAACATTGAAAGTTTTTTTCTCTCTTCAAAGTAGCATCTGGTTAATTTTTCTGGCCACTATAATACTTACTTCAATGTACAGCGTTATCAAAAGCGATATTTAAAAGTCAAACTAACGTAATTGACTTGGATAAAAAAGAGCGGGTAATGGCGTGCGCAGTGTGGGGCTTGAGGGGATGGCCTGCATCCCTGCCAACCAGAGAAGCAGTGGGGTGTTCTGCTGCCAACCTAATTGCATTCAACTATTTCTACTTCTGTCTTTGTAAGTCATGGTTCCTCCAGAGCATTAAATATAGCAAAATTCAATATCGAAGGGTCAGTAAGGAGTGTTGCAGACAACACTGTCTTACTAGTTTCCCGAGATTTTGGTATTTTTGTGTGTTTGACCTATTCTGTGGCTTAATCTAGGTGAGTGACAGATATTTGCTCTAGGACTTAAGTGCCATTCAGTGTAATAAAAATCTATAGTTTGACAAATAAAGTCATAATCTAGGCTAAGAACAAATTGTTTCAATATCAAATTATCTGATTAAGTGGCACATTCTGGCTTTTTTCACTAGAAGCTTTAGCTGAGTAAGTAAGCATGGCTTAGTTTTATAAAATTAGTTTGTGGTCCCTTTAAGCACAGCAAAAGACATTGGAGGAAGGTAGTGTTGAAGAAAGCAGTTGGGGAAACCAGCCTGAAATGAAAACTTATAAAGAAAAAACGGGCATTTGTGTAATGGACAACTAGATGTGGTAGGTTTTTCTTAAACTTTTCTGTCAGGAAAAGCAGTTTTGGAAAAAAAGAATGCCTAATCATATTTTGAAATAAAAGAGAAGCAGCTATAGTTTATGTAAAAGATATTTATTTTCTTTTGAACAATATTCAAACATAAATTATTGTGCAGTTCAGTAACACAATAAGTGCTAGAGATAATCTTTAAAAGGCACTTCTACTGCAATTACATTTAAGTAATATAGACAATTCAATAGCTATTTATCTTGCCACCTTATAAAATTGCCTGCTCATTTCACATTGTTCTTCTAATGTTCTTCAGTGAATTGCTGCATTTGGTTAAGATTTCAAGGTCCCATTATAAAATGTCCCTCTATTGATTGACTTATTTTATTTCTATTTACTGTTAATAACTTCACTAATGAATCACATTTAAAAGATATTTTTAAATGTTATCCATTGTTCATGTGCTAACATAATCATTGTTTTACAGAGCCATGCAAAAGTGTTTTAATTACCCAAGTGTAAGTGAAAAGGTACTTTGCCATGCAAACCTCCTTCCAGGAATGAAAGTTGGATAAACCAGAGCCTTTTGTTACTATTGCTTACTCTTTCTAAATGGTTTTGTTGTGAAGAAGAATAACTTTTTTCTTTAGAAAACAGGCACCATCTAACTTTTAATAAAAATTATAATGTAAAATTAGTTTCCCAATGATAAATTAAAAGAAAACACGTTCTCTAAAGAACATTGACAATTGCTCTGAATTTCATCATAGATATATGTACAGAAAATAAGTATCAGCTCACCTGATTAGAATAATTTTCTTATAAAGAAAAAATCCTTCACATGCTCTTTCACAAAGATACTATTGTATGATTTATCTAGAAACCCATCTAAGCCGAACAAATATCTGACAAATTTTTCAGTGTGTTCTTAATTTTTGAGTTTTTAAAATTATATAAACTGTCATAAGTTGAAAGCCACACCTTTATATCTTTCTCAATAAATGAAATATACTTTGTTATGAGCTATAGTACAAACATCACATTTCAACTACTGATTTTTTTAAGTAAATGTGAATTATAGGATTTGGCTTGAATATTCTGAGATAATAATAAAATTCAAATTATTTCATACATAATCCCCAAAATTCCAGTGCATTTGACAGAGATTTAAAAACGTAGACATATCATTTTTCTTTTGTTGTTGTGTTATTGTTCCATTAAAAAGAGAGATTGTGTATACAACTAAATATTATTCTATCTCTAAATATCTGTGCAATCATGATAAGCATAATCAAAGTCAAAATTCCATTATTGGTTTGTTTTAAAATGCAGACACAGTATTAAGAAGTCTTTAAGTCTGCCTGAAATATTTTAAAAATTATTTTCAAAATGGTATCACTATGATTTATTTCTATAAAGGACCATAGATGCTACATACAATAATTTATGATATTTAGACTCTACAATCAAGAGTTCTATTGTGCAAATATACTAAAGTAGAATTTCCCTGAGAGGAACTATTTTTCTGGCCACAATAAAGTAAATTCATATTCAGATTTCAATCTGACTTATAAACTAATCTGACACCTACCCAAAATGAGTGTTAATAGATTTTTGTCATCAGTTGAATTGTGCTAATAATTCTTTTTAGTGGACTATTTATATCTTTGTTTCTAAACAAATGTACTCAGAGAACTTGCTTAAAATGAAACTTTCCAGAAACATAGAAAGGCACTCATGAATAGCTACTTTATAGATCACTTTCAAGGTATCGGATATATTAACATATAATTACTTCAAAGGTAAATGCATTTAAAAAGTAGTTTCCTAAATACCTATGTGGCTCATATCAGAAGATTTTTACAAAAGATCAATCAGACAAGCATTAATTAGTCGAAAAGACTTTTCTTCTTTCATTCACATGAAATAACTTCTCATTAAATGGTCTGTGAAATACTGCTGAGATAATTTTCAGACTTCATTATAAAATGCGTCCACTCTTGACAAATGTCCTCCATGGAGAATCCTTCACCGCCATATTCCAGAGGAAGAATGTCTGGGAAATGCTGAAGTAAGCTTTGTTTGTAATTAGTCCCATGAATATGAATCTGAAATAGCCAAAATGTTTTAGGAGGGTTGCCTTCAGCATTTTGATACATTAGATGAATTTTCAATGGAAAAATCAACATCATAAAATAAGATACTCTAATAACTTGCAAGATAGGAGTGTATGTATAGATACTACATCCTTTATTCCTCTGCTTATGAATCAAAGAATTTTACTCGTTTGGAGTGTGCTACTTATGAATCTGAGCATCTTACTGTTTTCTTATATTTGCATTCTTATAGCTATACAAGATTCATTAAAAAATTATTTTCCTCTTTCACAAGTAGATTTTTAAAACTCTGAATAAAACTAAACATATTTTATATATTCTATTTCCTGATGTATAAGCCATTATTAGCAAAATATCAAATTAATTATTCTATACACTGTAAAAATGTCCTACCTGGTAATAGTTCACATGAAATAAAAGCATATATCTACACATAAAATTAGATATATAGGAAATAATTTATATGGTATATTTGATGGATATTCTTGGTTAGTACAAAATTAAGAGACAATTATGTTAGTTAAGAACCTTAAACTTTCAATTATTTTGAACTATAAATATCAATCATATAATGCCCTAACATTAAAGATTTAGAACCTTAAAGCAAAAAGCATATCTTATTAAAATATAAATATTAAAAAAAAACCTTTTTTCATCTGCTAGGGCAAAATGTTCATCGAAACATTCAACAATCATTTAATAAGCATCTACTATGTGCTGGGACAGTAATTTTCAACCATTTTCATCTCATGGCAGATACAAACTAATTACTCAAATTCTGCAGGATACAAAAAAACATTTTTTGCCAATCTGACACAAAATAGGTATAATTTTGACTGATTTACAAAAAATAATAATAGTAATTGTCTACCCTTTTTGCTTCAAAGTGACTTTTTAAAAAATCAGGTGCCTAGCTCTGGCTGGTGTGACTCAGTGGACTGAGCGCCAGCATGTGAACCAAAGGGTCACCATTTCCATTCCCAGTCAGGGCAAATGCCTAGGTTGTAAGCCAGGTTCCCAGTAGGGGGCGTGCGAGAAGCAACCACACATCGTTGTTTCTCTCCATCTCGTTCTCCCTCCTTTCCCCTCTGTCTAAAAATAAATAAAATCTTGCTTTAAAAAAATCAGGTGCCTATACAAGGATTTCTGATACCAAGAATTAACCAATAAGATGCAACTTTATTATGTGACATGGCCAATAAGATGTAACTCTATTACATGATCTATATATTTAAACATATAGGTCATGTAATAAGAGTTGCAGGACATTCACACTGGCCACATATTGTTGTTTTGGCTGTTGTCGTTATTTTATTTGACAATCTACGGGAAAAGAGGTCAGTGCCCCTGACTAAATAGCCAGGTGTTGCATGTTTTTAAAAATTCTTGCAGCCTACCTGTTGAATATCCCTGCACTAGGATATAAGGATTGAAAAATGAATGAAACAAGTTTCCTGCACTCAGGAACATCAGAGTCCTCAATCCTGGATTTTTTCTGAAATGTTTACAATATTATCAGCTAATAGAGAAGAAAGTCTACTATCTCCTCAGGAGGGGAGAAATAAGAACAATCATAGAGGATTGACGAAGCATTGAAAAGCAGAAAAGTAGCTGGATTGGGATCCTCCTCACCCCTGGCATTTCGGCAATTGTGATTCATATCAATTGATTTTCACTGAAATGCTTTACTTAATTTCTCAATTTTTTAATTCTTCTTTCTATTTTCTTGCTGTATTCTCCTATTTATTAGGTTCAGTTTCTTATTGCTTTTGTTTTTCTTTGTCAAAAATATAACTCAAAATAGAAATACCTAATTTTAGATCTTTCAGAATTAAAAAGAGGGTAGCCAGCTTTTATCAAACTACAATAAAGAAATAAAAAATAAGTAAAAGAGTTCACTTTTATAAAAATACTAAAATGAAAAGGGGCTGTCTTCAGAAATGCGGTTCTTCTTGAAGGCAGATAGAAACACCTACTGGGTAACCTCAAAAGAATCTCTAGGGTCACAGTTTTCTAACCAGATGCAAGATATTACACTGTAATATGAAAGACTATACTTTAGAAAATTCCAAATATACTACCATAATTCATATGATCACCATTTGTATTTAAATAACGTTTGAGTTTTAAATTGTTAAAGCTTTTAAAAACTGCTTTTCTTTCAGGCATTAGACATTGCCAACGCTTGTCTCAATAAATGTTTTAAAAATTCTCTTTGAAAGATTAATTGATATCCTAAGAGATATCTAATATTAGATATCAACGAAATTAAGCTCAACGGTATAGGTAAAAAAAAAAAATCAAATCTCTTTAATCAACATGACATAAAGTCACATACCTCAGGTACTGTGGTTTTCAGCTAAAATGTATTATTTAAAATATTTTTATTTGCATAGATAATACATTCCCATGGCTAGAAATCAAAACAAGATAAAAGACACACAGTGAGGTGTCTAGCTCCCAACCTTATCCTCATCCACCCTATCCACATCTCTGTTCTGCATAGATAACCACTTAGGTTGCTTTCTTGTTAAACCTTTCAATGAACTTTTAATGTAGTTATATACTACAGATTCTGATTTTTCCCCTTTTTATTATACAAAAGGTAGGATACCCATAAACTCTTCTGCCTGTTTGCTTATTTCATTTTACAATAAATTCTGCAAATCTTGTATTCCATTGTGTTGATATCTCACAGTTCATTTAATCAGTCCTCTGATGATGAACATTTAGTGGTTTCCAATCTCTTGCTGCAATAAATCCTCCTGCATATGCAATTTTGTGTATGTGTGAATAAGATAAATTCCCAGAAGCACATAAGCTGTAATTTTGATAACTATTACTACACTGCCCTCTATAGGGAATATACCATACTGCACTCCAACCAGCAATGTGCCGGAGGCCCAGTTTCCCCTTAGAATCACTAACTTGATTTTTCAAACTTAAAAAGAAATTTTAATTGGCTTATTACATAAATACTCAAAATATTAGTTCAATGGTGGGGGAATGATTAATAAAGCAGTTCTTAAATGAGAAAGGACTGGAACATTTGGTAGAGAGGAACAATTACTTGAATAGCTTCACTCACCCGTTCCTTAATTTTTTCAGTCAGAAATGGTTTAATCATGGAAAAGACAGCATGAAAAATTATTGGCGCTCTTATCAAGTGGATACCACGAACTTTCAATGGAAAGGAATCCTTTTAAAAATAAAGAAAAATCTTATTAACAACAAAGTATAAATATGTATTTCTATTGACAAGTCTCTTCTTTGAACATTTTCTACCTAATGTTCAAAGCACCTAATGTGTGTTTCATTATCAAAATTATTTATCCCATCAACACAGCATAGCCTACTTTATAGTTCACTGTCACAAGATTAAGGAAAGTTCCCTAAAAAAGTATTTATTTTGTAGCTTAGGCAAAGTATTTTGAGAAATACCTGCATCTTTCATTAAAAAGATGCAAAAATTTCTTCCCAATCATATATAAATGTTCTTTTAAGTAATCAATGAGTTATTTGGGTGTTAATAATGAACATTTTCCCTCATATTTTTATTTTGAAAAAATTAAACTTTCATAAAAGTTGAAAGACTAGTACAACAGATACTTTTAAACTTTTGACGCTGGTATAAGTCTCTAACCTAAAAGTAATATAGGCTTATTCAGAAGGTTTAAAAAGTTAAGAGTTGAAGGAAAAAAAAAACTCATCAATAGTTTCCCTACCCAAAGATGTATAGTTTGTATAGCGGCGTTTCCTGTCAAAGTTCTTACATACGAAATTCTTTTTATTTTTCCTTTTTCCCCGATTTTTCCTTTTTCCTCCTAGAGCTGTGTTATCTATTGGGGGATTTTCATTCCAGGTTCTTCCTATGCATAATTTTATTTTAAACAGAAAGCTAATATGCTCTCTAAATAATTTGTATCCTGTTTTGTCCCACTGAAATAATACAATTTTTATAAACATCATGAGTTTTAATGTGTTGCAATAATCCATCAGATGGATGTACCATAATTTAAGTGACCATTTTCCTATTTCTGGACAAATAAGCTGTTTCTAATTTTATTCTATAAGAACTGATGCTATAGCATCTATCTTTATGTAAAGGAGGCAATGATGGTTGTAAGCAGAGCTTTTATTTCAGATGATCTGGACTGGAACCCTTGCTTCACTGCTTACGAAATGTATGTGTTTGGGCATTGCTATCACCTCTTTGCCACAGTTAATTAATTTGTAGAATGGGAAAATAATAGTCATTATAACATAAGATTGTGTGGCCATTAAATGGTAATTCATTTGAAACAGTCAGGTACCTGGTACACAGGTATTATTATATACAAGGTCTTTATTTAAGATTATTCTTTGGCTATGTTTACTAAGTAGGATTACTGGGTCAAAAATCATGGCCATTTAAAAAAGCTTTTGATTTCTAAAAACATTAAAAGATAAAAACTGTTAAAATTTATATCTACCAAACTCCTCTGACATTTTGTTGTACCATTGTTATGTATATTATTTTTTATTCAATTTTGTAATTTAGAAAGAGAACTTTAATGACAGAAAGAAAAAGTCACCACATGCATTATTGTTTGAATGTTTAAATTCTGTGATTACTAATCTTAAAGATATTTTTACAATTTGTTACAACATTCTTTCTTTTATGAATTAAAAATACTTTCTCTTAGCATTATTGAATTCTATGTATCATTTCTAAAATTTTATTTGATTTTCTAATAAATGTACTATTCACTTCTGTTTATGTAACATGTAACTAAATTAAAATCTATTGGAAGTATTATTCCCAACAGTTAAACTATACACTTACTGTAAGAACAGCAGCAATCTTCTTTGCTACAGATGGTGTAATTTGAAAAGCATGAGAAAAATGCCAGCCTTCCAGATCAAAGATAACCTTGATTCCGTTCCGCTGGGTTTCTACCTCCTGTACAATAAGCTCGGATGTGATTAGACTTAAACGGAATACATCATAAGCTGTAAAAACTTTTGGGTCCCAGTATGCTAAAAAAATAAAATAAAAAATATCATATCTCAGCATTGTGTAAAAAATCAGAAAACAAAAGGAAACTATTCTTTTTAGACTTAATAAAAATAAAAACATGTACAAAGATCATGAATTAAATAGCAGATCTCACTGGTGGCTCAAAAACATGTGCCTGCTTCTTCCTAGCAAAGAACAGATTTTTAAGAGCATGTGCCTTAAAATAAATAAATAAATAAATAAATAAATAAATAAATAAATAAATGCAGGCTGGATTTGATTGCCAGATGAAACTACAGCCCAAATCATGCAGGAAACAGTTGTGGCTAAGGATGGGAATGCCTCCTGGTGTGCTCCAAACTCAGAGATATTGCAAATGGGAAAAGCATGGCCTGGATTAGGAAGAGTGACTAGGGCCTTATAGTAACCAGAGAGGTTGAAAAAGGAAATCCCTGAGGTGTAGGACAGGCTGGCTGATGTCTCTGACACCACCCAGGGCCAGGCAGCATGTAGCAGAGTCATGCCCTGACAGGCTAGAACAGTAAGAGTGGGCTTTGGAAAGCAGAGTCAGAGAAGCACTTGCGTAGCTTCCCACACCCAGGCTAAGAGGAATTACTGACATTCTTCCTCTCTCCCCTCCCCCACCACTCCTGGGACGGGCCATGGCAAGCAGAAAGGACAGTGATGGCCAGGCAAGCAAGTAATCTTAAAAACAAACGAACATGCATCCACTAAGAATTGTAATATTTTTTGAAACACAGACACACAAAGAAGAGAGGAAGCAAACTGAGAGACATGCAGCTAGATCCAGAAGTTTGAAAATCCAACTAACTAGAGTTCTGGGAAGCAATGTTACAGAGAATGTGACACAGAGGAGAGAGGAAAAATAGCAGTAGGGAAAATTTTTCCAAAGCCGAAAAAAATATGTGAGTCTTCAGATTGAAGGGTCCACGGAGTGCCTAACAGGGTAAAAGAAGAAGAAAAAAACAATTCATGACTAAGTAACAGTAAAGTTTCAAAATACCAAAATGTCTGGCTTGGACAAATGGGTAGAATGGTGGTAACATTCACTGAGGTAGGAAACAATGGAAAAAAATATTTTGGTTGGAAAGATGGTACATCATTTTGGACATGTTAAAACGGTGGCTGTGAGATGTCCAATTGGATAGAGCTGGATTGGGGAGTTGGTTGTATGAGTCCTTGGAAACAAGAGGTAATAGGGTTAGTTACATATCTAGGCATTGTTTGTGTTTATAGGAGAGCCCATGAGAGGGATACTTTAGATCTGTGTTTATCTTTGTTCTGATGGAGAAATAAAGTAGCCTGAGAAAAGGAGTCTGAGTACAATGTCCTAAGGAACTTCAGGATTGAAAGGGTGAGTAGAGTAGGTGATGCCAGCAAAGGAGACAAATAAGGAGGATCCAGTTAAATTGCAGAAAATGAGGAGAATATGGCATCAAAGAAGCCATGAGAAGAGGATATCTCAAGAAAGAGAAAATATTTAACCAAAATAGGTTATATAAAGTGAGAACTTGTTGAGCAATGATCTAGAAAATGTGGTACTATATATAGTAGCCATTCTTCTAAAACATATACTATACACCAAAAATTGGAGTATATGTAGTAGTTATTCTTCTAAAACATATAATATTTGCGATTGCAATAATTTTAAGAATATGAATTAAAATTTTTACAACACGTTTTTAAATTTGAATAAAATCTAAATTATAATTATCTTTTAAACAAAAATAAATCTACTCCAAACTGAAATCAAAACTTAGTTTTGTGATGTTTTAATACTACTATCAGTGGTTTGGGAATGCTTTCTTTTAATTTTCATAATTATGAATTTTTTTCTCATAAAAGCCTTTCTTTCCCTTAGGATTATAATCAACAAAACTTTACCATATTTGTTTTAATACTTATGTAACTACATTGTATTCCCAAACCAAAAAATTCAGGTAAAATAGCCTTAAAACATCCATTGTCCATTTAAATCAGAGTAAGAAATTTCATATTTGCATGCTATTACATATCTATTTGACAATTCTATAGAAGTGTTAGACTATTTCAAATTAGAAACATTATTGACTTTTTTCCAGGAAGTATAATAAGTTTTTCTTTTGATGCCTGAGTATAAACATGACTTCTTTTTTAAAATAAGTTGTCGCTCCTCATTTTTCTCCCTCTCTATTTGCTAAAAACAAAGAGAGAGTAAGAGGAAGTGGTCTGCTGTGTTGTTGTATTGAGAGGTCAAGTAAAACAGGATGCCCATTTCATGTCCATTAGATTTGCTGACGAGACGGTCGCTGATGATTTGCTGAAGTCATTTCAGCAGAGAGGTGGGAGTGAAACCAGTGAGACCAGGGCTGGTTGAGAGGAGCTGTGAGGAAATGTGGGTGGGGAACATCACTGACTTAAGAAACCTGGCTGAGAGGGGCCGGAGTGGGGACATGGCTGGGGCTGGAGGGTCTTGAGGGAATGAGTAGGACCTTTTGTTTTGTTTCAGATGGCTGACCCCAAACAGATTTAAATGTCAGTAGGCAGGGTCTAGTAGCGAGGAAAAACTGAAAGACGTCGAAAGAACAGGGATAGTTAGAAATATTCCTATGAAGACACAGTGGAATTGCCCCTTGCTTTAAAAGCCTCTGATTCCTAGTTTGAATTTGAATAATCAATCCAGCTCATATGTACTATACTACTTCAGACATTGGCTGAAAACTACAATGGTGAAAACTATGAACAGAATAACTGAAAGTCTGCAGTTCAGAAAATAGTTATAGTCCTAAATTTCTCAGCCAACCAGCATGTTAAGACCTGTGCTGCCCAATAGGGTAGCCATTAATCACATGTAGCTATTTAAATTTAAATTAGTTAACATTAAATAAAATACAAAATTCTGTTTCTATGTTGCGATAGCCAAATTTCAAGTACTCAACAGCCATGTGTGGCTACTGGCTACTGCAGAACAGTTTCATCATCATAGTTACATTGGATAGCTCTGATCTGGACTTGACTCTTTCTTAATGTAAAAAGAAAAACACGCCTTAAATTTTTCATTCCTTCTCTAACATGTATCTAACATTTATTGAGTCATTATTGTATATAAAGTAATGCTTTAATTATGTTTTTTATATATTACAAGATGTAATGCTCACAGTAATCTTATGAGGTAGGTTTTTACTAGGCTAGCTGAGAGATGAGAAAATGTGTTACAGCTACACAGCTCTTTGTGTACCTAGAACATAGCAGAGCTAAGATTTCTACCAGGCAACGTATTCCTAAAAATTAAGCCATAGTCAAAATTTAATATTCAATGTTAAATTTTACTTTTGTTGTTTTAATATAGTAATGAGTCTCAAAAGGCTTAAAGTTACAGCTGACCCTTGAAAAACACAGGGGTTAGGAGCATTGACCCCCAGGTAGTCAAAAATCCAAGTATAACTTTTTATTCCCCCAAAACTTAATTACTAGTAGCCTGCTATTGACCAAAAACCTTACTGATAGCATAAATAGTCCATCAACACATATTTTGTATGTTACCTGTATTATATACTGTTTTCTTACAAAGTAAGCCAGAGGAAAGAAAATGTTCCTCAGGAAATCATAAGGAAAAGAAAACACATTTACAGTACTGTACATATTTATTGAAAAAAAACCCCATGTATAAGTGGCTCCACGTAGTTCAAACCTGTGTTGTTCAATGGTCAGCTGTGTATCCTCCAACTTGGATGCTAAGAATGGGAAAAAATTAGTGTTGGGGTACCCTGTCTAACTGGAGAAAGGCTCTGGGCATTTTTTCACTGCTTTTACTGCATAGAGATGGTACCTGGGAAAGTGGTTAGGCTAATGTTCTGTTGAAAAGCTCTACCATAGATTTCTTTTTTCAGTTCCTCCCATTAATTCAATTAAACTTAGAAAATTTATAAATCTTTACACTTTCATTTTATTCATAAAACTCTTCTGTGTTTCTTCTTTTCACCCTAGAATAACATGTTATTCTGCATAACACACAGGAGATTTGCTGCATACCCTCTTCTGGCGACCAGTACACCTGCAAGCTTTTCTTGATTTTAAAATCTCTTAGAGTTAAACAGTACACTTATAAATGAACATACTATAAGAGACCCTTGCTAACCAATAGAAGACTTGATTCAGTGTGAAGGTATTTATAATCAAAGTAGCACATTTGCTTTTTCATTATTAAGGTGTTATTTTTTACTACTTAATTTGCCCTAGTTAGTTTATGAACAAACTAGAAAACCTTCAGCCAGGCAGTGCAGAGCCAGGATACATGCAGAAAGGATCGTCTGTAGATTTCAGTTTTACGTTCCTGGAATCCCTGGGCAGAGATGCCAGATAAAATATAAGGCGCCCAGTTAAAGCTGAATGTCAGATAAACAGAATATATATATATATATTTTAGTATAAGTATGCCTCATGCATACCAAAAATTATTTGTTATTTATCTGAAATTCAACGGTAAATGCATACTTTATGTCTTCATAAAATATAGGTTTATTTGCTCATAAAATATACGTACTATGCTAAAGCTAGCAACCCTGCCCCAAGGAACTCAAAGAACTTCATTCAACATCCCATAACACTGCTGGAGCAAAAGACAGCAATGTCTATTATTGTCTATAAACAGATGTCCAGCTCATAGACAACGACTTCATGACTATCTCAGCTGTATTTGACACATAAGCTACAGCAAGAAACCGGAGTCATTCTACTCAGTTTTCTAACACTTTTTCAAGAATTAAATGCAGTGTCCTCTTGCAAGAAAGCAAACAGCTGAATAACAGGCATCCATCTTACCTATAAGCAGGCAGGAAAAGCAAACCTACACATATTTTAAAGTTCTCTAATATATTTAAAGATGTAAAAGTTTCTGGAAGATTATAATTCATAAGATTCTGCTCATACAATGTTGGGCCATGAGAACACATAGCAGGTGGTACAGGCCCTTCTCCCTTGAATGCCATTTTTCACCCCAAGCAAGTCTAAGGAGGGGGCAGGAATTATAAATTGCGAACCTACATGAAATACTAGGAAGGCCTAATAATGACAGGGGGAAGCAGTAAAAACCAGGAGGAGCACGTGGAATACAGTGTCTTCAGCACTTCCTGAGTTCCTCTTTCCCGCTGCGCCTTTCTCCACCCAGGGGAACAAGCACCTTGCTCTGCAGCTTGAATGCTATCCAACTAGTCGCTCACTCACTCACTCACTCCAAAATATTCAAGAAACACCTACCACGTGCCCTGGTTCAGTGCTTGGCATACATCAGTGAACAGAATAGACAGCTTCTATGCATTATTGTAGTCCAGAACTCTTATTTGTATTTCCTACTAAATGTTCTTTCATTTCCCCTTGATCATTTTCATCTTTCCCCAACAATTTCTCTTCTCTGTTTTCTTTTTCTCTTATTTTCTACAGTCGACTATGTGGAAAAATCCTATGTAGTAGGATTTTCATTGGTTTTTATGAATTTTCTCACAACTGCTAGTGTTCTTATACTTGGGGGACATTAAAATATCAATTAAACCTGTTAAAACCTGAAAACCTAAATGTCTAAATATGGACTCACTGAAGCCTTCCGTATAGCAGTCAAGAAAAATCAATGGAAGTGCTGTGTCTGACTTACTGATTCTGTAAATGAGAACTCTGCTGCCAGTGGAATCCCTGGCTCTCAGGACTCCAAGGTAGCCAGCCCTCAGGAGGCCAAGAACGCTGCCAGGGTGTAGATCTGCACTTATTTCCGGACATTCTTCTCTCCACTTATAATAGTTTTTTAGTAACTGAAAGAGAAAATAAAAATTGTCTACAGACAGCATACATGGTAAGCATTTGGTAAAAATGGTAGGAAAGCCTTGGCATTACAATATGGTCCTTGCCACCTCTCATGTCAAGATTTTAGTATGCGGTATCCTTTTAGCATAAAAAAAAATTTCCTTCATCAAGGATCTCAGGTGATAGGAGTTAATCAAAAATTCAAAGTTGAGTAATTCTTATTTGTCACCTGTGATGGATGGCCTGCAAAGACAGCTGCCAACAACCCCTCTGCCCTGGTGCACAAATGACATCAAGAGGTGGAATCCGTTTGATTTGTTCCCCTTCAATCTAGGCTGACCTTACGTTTTCTTTGACAAGTAGAATTTGACAGAAGTGTCACCATGCTAGGTTTTTTAGAAGACTGGGGTTTTGTTTGCTTTCCAGGATCCAGATGCCATTAAGATTATGCAGTGAAAAGTCTATATAAAGAGGCCCTGGAGAATGAAAGGCTGTCTTGCTGGGAAGCAATGTGGAGCAGAGGTGATCATCCCGGCTCAGCCTTGCCCAAACTGGAGAATCGCAAACAAAGCTGTGGTTTGTGCCACTAAATTTTGGGGTTATTTGTTACCTGGCAAGAGGTAACTGAAACATCCACTTTTATTTAGTCTTTTTGAAACAAAGGATAAAAATCAATCAAATGAATTAACTCTACAAATACATTTGGAGTATCTACGATGTTCCACACACTGTTAGGCACTTGAGTTAAAATGGCAACCACAATGAACCTTTAAGCTCGCTGGAAGTGATGTATCGGTGACAACTGGATCATGCAGGCCATGCCGTGTAGTGAAAAGTTCAGTTCCCAGGCTGCCTCTTCAGTAACTTTGGTGCCACCAATTATTACCTATGTGATCTTGAGTAACTATTTACCTCAGTTGAGTCTTGTTTTCTAGAATTACGTGTAAAGCATAAGTGGACAGAATGAGTGGTGGTTAGTACTGCTGTAATAGGGAAAGTCATTTGGGTTAATTGGCTCATCCAAGTGTTTAATGCCGGTTTACATTAAAGATAACTAGAATTTTTGAAGTTTTATTTTCTTTCCTACAAAAAGAAAAACTAAATCAAAGATATAAAGGAACATCTCTATACAACTGCTATACTTTCAACTAATAAAAAACAACAGAAATTGATTTTGTTAATAGTAGCATACATTCAGAGAGACTATGAAATGCTGTGCTTGGATATTAGGTCTTGACAAAATATGGTTTGAAGGGATCCTGTTTTTTCTTTTTCTTTTTTTCCAAAAGAACCACCAATAATGGTTACTCTACATTTACAAATAATACAAACATTGCCCGTATATTGTGGAGAATACGAAAATGAAATTGCACATTTAAAACTTACTATATTTTAATTTTCTTCTTTACGATTTTCAGCATTCTCAATTTTTCTTTTTCCTTTCTTTTCTTCCCCCCACCCCCCACCGGTTATTATTAACTCTCTGAATTTGAGAGATATTTTATTTTGTTTTGTTTTTTTACTGTTTTTCAATTACAGTTGTCTCTATATTCCTTCCATTACTCTCCCCCACCCTACAGACCCCCACATCCCACATTCAATTCTCCCCTACCACCTCCACTGTCTTTGTCCATGGATCCTTTATACAAGTTCCTTGATGACCCTTTCCCTTCTTTTCCCCATTTATCCCCCTCTGCTTACTTATAAACCTTTCACCTTTTACTAAGATGTCAATATACATGGTCTGGAACAAATAACGCCTCTTTTTTATAAAAAAAAATTTTTATTACAAAATCATAAGCATGGAATTCTGTAACACAACAATATCAAACTCAAGTATACCATATAACACTTTCAGTGAAATGTTCAAATTAAAACTATAAATTATTACACCCATATTATATCACCCTAGCAACCACACTCAAGCAGGCGTTACTTCTGCCAGACACTACCTTTAAATTTAGACATGTGGAACTAAAGTTCAGATGAAAGGAAAGGACAAATGTTTATATGTGAGAGTCTTTGAGTCACTGGAATAAACATTATAGCTGTAATTACAAAGTAGTAAATCATCAGGAGGAAAAACTACATATATAAATTTTAAAAAAAATGTAGATAGTGAAAGTCTGAGCCATGGGAAATGCCAATGGCTGGGAATGGCAGGAAGAAGAGAGAAGCTGGTTGGATTTTAGGAGAAACACCACTATGGTGCACAGAAGGGAGGAGAGAGTCATCTGTGTGTGTGTCTCTTTCCCTCTCCCTCACCCCCTTTTCTGCACCCTCTCTCTGATATTGTCTCCCTATCTTTTCCTCCCTCTCTTTCATTTCTACATTTGATTTAAAAGCAATTTAAATTTAAGTGTTTTTAAAAAGAGGATGTTTCTAAGAGTTACATGCAACAGAGAGGTAAGAAAGAAAAAAAGTCAGTAAATTTTTCAACCAAGAAATAATGGGTGACCTAAAGAGCAGTTTCCAAAAGCAGTAAGAACAAAATGTACATTGTAGATGTTTGTGATATATTCATCCTAGTCTATAAGATGAATTTCTCTTTTTCCTCCTTTCTTAAGAGGCATCAGAATAAGTGTTACCAGCATTTCTAAATGCTCATTACATTCTTCATAGTTCCCACAGGCATTAAAATAGTCCTTCTAATTCTGATGTAAGCAAAATGCTAGAAACAGCATATGAGCTGCCCACTGAAATAACAATTTTATTTTCCTATGTAATGATAAAAGTTGTGGTTTTCATCGAAAGGGATCTTTTAGGTGATAGAGGCAAGAGCTTGTGATTAAGTAACACTCATTTTACTTATTAACAACTCCAAAGCCATTCAATAACTTTAATTACGGTATATTGTTATAATTGTTCTTTGTTATCATTAGTTATTTTTGTTAATCTCTTACTGTCCTAATTTAAAATTAAATTTTATCATAGGTATATATGTATCGGGAAAAAATATACTGGATCTAGGGTTGGGTACAATCTGCGATTTCAGACATTCCCCCGGTTCTTCAAAAGCAACCCCCGGCCATTAGGGCACTACTGTACTGCACGAGTAAACCAGCTGGATCCACACACTTGAGAAATTGACTTTTGTAAAGACTCATAATTAACTCACATGCTTTTGACATTTAATTTTTGCAAAATTGAAATATTTGAACCTGGATCCTTTGGTATTACTTTTCCACTGATAAATACATTCAAAGATCCAGTTGACAGAAACAAATTATATAAATGGCAAAATTCTACTGAGCAATTCTCAAACAAATGACCTAGAGTACATAACAACAAAAAAAATCGGGGGCAAGTGAATATCATTATTGAAAGGCATCTGTTTTGTACCACAATTAGGAATAAATAAGTGTAAAAAGTTATGGTTTATTTTAACTATGCTTTATAATACAGTAACTTTCTTCTTACATTTTCATGTACTTTCAAACAAAATATGACCATACTTATGCAGTTTTCATAGCCTTTAATGGCATTATTTCCAATTCGTCCTCACAAGCAACCTGAGAGGTCATTATTGTTACCCCATTTTATAGATAAAAAGACTAAAGCTCAGAGAGGTTACACATTTGTTTAAGGGCAATAACTGCAGGAGCAGAATGGAGACTGAAGCTCCCATGATATGACAAATTTTACAAAAGAAGCTACATTTAGTTGGAAATTAGTGGGGAGAGTCAATGGTACTTTGAAAGCTTCCAAGTCTTTGGGAAAACCATAACATCAATTAAAGGATAAAAACTCATCACATAGAGCAAAAATATAAGGAACTGGACTATTTGGTTATGAAAGACAAAAATTCACAAGAATATGAAGAAGAGACAAAAGTTAATAGCTGGATGCTTTTGTGTTCATTGTTTTAAACAGGGCAAGTTAAGTATACTTGAGAGCACAGGCTCCCCTGAGTTTAAGCCAAGTTCAAATACATGCTCTACCACTTAACTCTGATTTCAGACAAGTCACTTAACTCTTTACATTTCAGCTTCTTCTAAAATGAGAAAATAATGAGATAATTCTAGCAAACACTACTTACAAAGTTACTGGCATTCTGAAAGCTATTAAAGTTCTAAAAACCTCATTAATTCATTATCACTTCAAATATAAAAACCAGAAAAAATGAGAAATTTCATTAAAACCGAGGGACTTATTGAAGTTTCTTTATACAATAAAACTATAGTGCTTTTATATTATAAATAAGGAAATTTGAGTTGAATTAACTGTCTTTGTAAAGTAAATAGTTTCATGCTCGAATACTTTCTCTTTTATTTCTAGTTGGCAGGAAAATAAAGAGTTCACAGACAGAAACTTGATTCCTGTTCAGTAGATTTAGACAAAATCTTACTAGCAAATTCTTCAAGGATATGGTGCAATGGAAAGAATTCAGGAACATAAAGAATAGAGAAAAAAAAATATATATATATATATAACACAAGGCTGGAGGTAAATTCTATTTTTTATCTTGTTTTTGTTTTATCTTTTTTATTTATAAAAGTTATTGGGGTGGCATTGGTTCATAACATTGTACAAGTTTCAAGTGTCCGATTCTATAATTGTACATCACCTCTATGTTGCATCGTATGTGCTTACTACCAAAAGTCTAGTCTCCCTCTGTCACCGTGAATTTGACCCTCTTTACCCTCCTCAGTCCCCGACAACTCCTTCACTGCTGGTACCACACTTCTGCTGTTTGTGTCCACAGACATCACTCTAAACCAACAAACCAAATGAAATCAACAACAAATCATACTTTTTGGGGTAAATTGCAACATATACAAGGGGGGACTCCAAAAAAAATCAGAATTATCTTTCAGAGGGCTGGCCCCGGGTAGCGCAGGTTTCCCCTACGAGGTGAGTATTCTAGGAATTCATCTTTATCAGTGTACCAGCTGGTGTAAGAGGCTGCATTCAGCTTCAGTGAATTTTTTTAAAGACTCTTTCAGCACGTTTGCCCATCTCACGATGGGTGATTTGTAAGTGTACCAACCCATACCACGCTGAGTGTTCAGCGGTTTTTGACCAAAACTGATGAGACCCCCTTGCCCCACCCCAATTATTCACTCAATCTCACCCCAAGCAACATTTTTTTCCCCAAAATGAATAAAAGGCCTCAAAGGGAAATGTTTTACCAATGTGGAAGAAGTTAAACAAAAATGGCAGAAGCACTACAAGGCATCAAAATTGATGGGTTAAAAAACTGTCTTGAGCAGTGAAAAAAAGTCTTATAGGGTGCATTGCATCTAATGGAGAGTACTTGGAAGGTGGCTGAAGTTTAAACATGTAAGAATAAACATACAACTTTTTATAAATAAATTCTGGGTGTGTTTTTGGGTCCTCCCTCATACATGTTTAATGCCTCAAACTGCACTCTCCCTAAGAAGTGAGACTGTGCCTTCATATTTAGTATCTGCTGAGGAATTGTTAGCTTATGACTCATGATGTTGAGATACCTGGGTAGCCACTTAATAAATAGAAACAAATAAAGTCAGATTCCTAATTCATTCCTAACATCAAAGAAATCCTAGTATAGCAACAAGTCCAAAATGAAAAAAGAGTAATAATAAATTACTTAAGAAAATTTTGGAAAGAAGTGCTTATAAAACTGAGAAGTAATCAGAGAACAATAGCATTGATACATTTGTTACATAAAAACTTAAAATTCTGCACAGAAATAAAATAGCAATGTGAACACAACAAACGAGGACAATGGCCCATTCGCTTTATGTGTGAAGATGTTTTATAAAAAAATATTATATTGTATGTATATTATATTTTATATAAACAAACTGGAAGAAAATAAACAAATGGCAATAACAAGCAGTTACTGAGAAAAGAATTTTAAAATGTTAAATATATAGAAGACAATTAACCTCACTTGAAATTAAATACATTCATATTATAATAATGAGAACCAGTTTTTCACCTAGCAGGTTGGTCACACAGATCATAAAGTTGGCTAACACAGCATGGGTGGTACACCATTGTGCAATACAGAAATTGACAAAATTAGTGCAAGTAAACATTTCACTTCATCTCGCAATTCTGCAGTTTGAACTTGTCTTATTAGGATATATTCCTATTTTTCACAAAGACAAATGTACGTAGACTAGAATAACCAGTTGGCGATGGAAGACATCCCACTTATCTTGTTTACTGCATTTCTGTGTACTGCCAGGCAAATCGTAGGTGTTCAAAAAATAATTATTGAACGACGAATGAAGAGCCTGCATGGCAGCGCTGCCCTTGTCTGATGACGCGTCCATGCCCAACAACGGGGATTGCTCAATAAATGTTAACATAATATATTCATACAGTGAACAGCACAAGATCCACGAAAGAAAAAGATGTACGTGTACATGCTGAAATGCAATGCTCTCTATGATACATTAGGTTTTAAAAAGGCAAAATGTAAAATACATATGCTTGTGTGAAAGTTGGCTCTAACTGCAAGGAGAAACGAGATACAGGTCACTAACTTCCCGTGGGTAGACTTGGCAAACGAAGGATTGGGGTGAGGAACTTTTTTCCCTTCAGGAAGTTACTTTTAGAAGCCTACTTTGTTTATGGATTATTTTTGCCACCCGTAGTGTTTACTTTTTCAATTAAAAATTAGTTATCCTCACAACCCAAATCCCTCATACTGAGACATGCTGAGATTCTGTACTGTTCTACTTCTCTTGCCTTTAAAGTCGCCGCTGCATGACATTGAAGAAACCACTTGGAGAAAAAGGGCGTTCAATCGCTGAGTGCTTGCTCCGCACCAGGATCTGCGCGGGACACCTCTTACTCTGTTAAACTGGTTAATGGTCAGTCGTGGAAAGGAGTCAATGAGGTGAGCGTTCTCACCATTATTTAACAGGTGAGGATGCTGAGCCCAAAGCGACAAAACTAAAGGTCACATCCCTCTGTCTGATTCCTGTCTTCCCTCCACCCTTCTTTCACCCAACCTGGAAACACAAAACAGCCTTATTCTTACACTCGAAATATACTGGACTACTTCACTGTCTTGATACTTAAGGATTACTATTAATACTATTTCCCTGGGATTTGGCTTTAGACCTTGTCTTACTAGCAATTTCATTCTCCCCTCTACACGTGGAGCTACCTGCTAAGATGTAATGGAATCTAGGCTTCCAACTTCTCAGCTAGGTTTCTGCCCTGCCCCATCACCAGCTTTCTGCGTGGCAATAGGAAAGGCATTTCCCCAAACTTTACAAGTTCCAGAGACTCATCAAGGGTTGAGCTGCAATGTGAAATGGGCCATCACCCAGACTGGCTCTAGCTCTGCCAGATTTTCCTTTTCCAAGACCCAGACAAACTGAATGGGCCGGCGCTGTTTTTTTTGTTTTTGTTTTTGTTTTTTTCAGAACACCCGCAGCCACAGCGTCCGCCGCCCAGTGCCCAAGGTCCCTCTCGCAACTTCGGCTTTTGCCGGGATCAGGACAGCACATCCCAGGTTACTCAGCCCTGTCCGTAAGGTGGCGCGCAGCGGCGAGGCACGCTTACCCTCCAGGCCAGGTCGAGGTCGAAGTCCCGGGCGCGCAGGAAGCGCAGCAGGAAGGAGTCGGTGAGCGGCAGCTTCGCGAGCGGAGCGCCCACTGCCCGCGCCCGGCGTCGCAGCTCGGCCAGGCTCGGCTGCAGCAGCGGAGAATGGTCTGGCAGCGCGCTCAGCTGCAGCCCGGTCGCCATCGCCGGCCCCGGCCGCGCCTCTGCCATGCCAGTCACCGCCGCTTCGGCCGGGGTGGCCCTGGCTGTGGGAGAAGCGTGGGCTGCACACCACCTTCCAGCCCCTCCTCCGGTGGCCGCTGCCCAGCGCTTGCCCACCCTCCCGCCCCGCCTGGCCACGGCAGGCAGCGCATTGCCTCCCCAAAGGAAACCACGTGGTGTTCCCACGGGTGCTAATAATTTCGAAAGCTCTAAGTAGTAGTTCGAACCTTTCCCCAAAGGGAATTCACTGGTGATCAGTGCCAAGGGAAGATGTCAAAAAGTTTGTTTGCCTACGTTGATGGGCATGTTTCAAAAAATCTCCTAGGGAACTTTTTTTTTGTTCCCCTCTCTCCTGTAGCCCTTTCCCTAACAGCACCTACGGTGGTGATTGAATAAATACCTGAAAGAGGTGAGGGAGCTGGCCCAGGGACACCTAGGATATCAGGGCCCTGTTCTGGGGGAGCTTCTAAGCCAGTAGAATACGAAATCAGGATCCAATGAGAAGGCTGTTGCAAATGAGGGAAAGAGCTTTGATCTTTACTTGGAGGGACCTGGAAAACTATTGGGGTAAAAGTTTACAGTTCAACGTGAAAACTGCTATGAAGGAGGTATGGGAAAAGTGCTGCAAGAGCACAGAGGAAGCCTGACTCTGCTTAGGCAGGACATCTGTAAGATTCACAGAGAGAGGACATTTGCTTGGCCTTAGGTGATACACTGGGAAAGTTTGCCAGGTGAAAGAGAGAGAAGGGAAGCCAGTCCTCTCTAGAGGTTTAAAGTGTTTAAAAGTAAATTAACAAGACAGCATATATATAGCATATTTTCTCATTTTTTATTCTTCTACTTGCTCTTAGCAATTAGCATCTGATTTTTTTTTGAAATTGGACAAAGTTCAGTAAGATCTCATTGACACAGCTGTAATATCAGTTACAGTAGTCTTTTATGGAAGTGAGCTATATGTGCATAGAGTCCAAATTTGTTACTCTGCTTTTGTGAAGCTCTTATAAACACAAAAGAATGTTTACTGATTGATTGAGCTAATTGTCACTGAACTCGATGAAAAAGGAAGCAACATGGAGCCCAAACTGCCATGACAGATGGCTCCTAAATTGACAAGAGGTGGCAGTGGTAGCAGCGGATATCTGTAACAAAAATGTGAAGCAATTCCAGCGTCTGCAGTTAGCGGCATTGAAGGAACGAGTGATCACTTTTTGTTCAATAATACAGACTGTGCTTGTGTGTTTCAACAATGTATGTGGGATCTATATATATAAAAATTTTTAGAATTCTTGGCATGAGTTTTCAGGAGATGTTGCTCTGTTTTTGTTTTGTAGAGTTTTCAATTTTGCTATGCTCATGTTTTATTCTGTTGAACTCTCATGTTCACTGCAAATGCATCCAGGCCTCTAGTACAAAGATTCCAAAGGGGTTTCTGGAATTAATGGTATGAGGAAATAAAAACAAAGATGGAAGGAAAAGTTAGTTCATATTTGTACAACTAGCCTACAATTTATGCTGAAATTATTTGACAATTATTCATTAGCACATAATAGATCATTAGTATACCAGTGAATTTACTTTTAGCCTCACAAGAAAATAATACTATTTATTGTTGTTAAGAGAGAACTTTTAAAAGGGAATAAAATTAGGATTCATACAAATATAAAAATTAACTTGTGTTAAAGATTTTATATAACTTGTAAGCAAAGAGCCAAGCAGATGTCATGAGAGAGGCAAAGAAGAAATCAAAACACCACGCATTTAAATGGAGCAAAGGATGTTGAAATAAATTTCAATGGTGGCAAGAGTAACCTCTGCAAGAATAGAATGGGGTCAATTGAAATTCTGCTAGGTAGAACAGAATTTGTATGCTCATAGGCAAGAATTGTTTGCCATTGCTATCAGCACCTACAATTTACAGACTTGTGAAATAGCCCAAGTAGAATCAGAATCAGATAATCCAGAGGGTATCAGCTGGAGTCTGCACAATGCATAGTTTTCTAGCAAAGCACAGGTTCTACCTTACATCACTAAGGCAACTTATTTTAAACACTCTCAAGTCATATTTATCATGAAAATTTTAAAACATACATAATGATAATGAGAACTTACGTACAGCTTGTTTTGCCCATCAGTGGCACTTTGCCCATCTTATTTATCTGCCTCTCCCACTTCCTTAATAAGCTAAAATATTTTAAAGGATACCTATATATCATATCATTTTTCTGGTAAGTACTTTAATGTACATTTTTCTTTTTTTAACATTCCACAATACCACTTTTTACATTTAAAAATATTAGCAACATCTCTAATATATCCCCTAATACCCAGTCTATATTCAAATTTCCCTAATTGTCTCAAAAATATTTCTTTTAAGTTATTAAAGATAAGATTCACATTAATCCATACATTATATCTGGGTGGTAAGCCTATGTGTTAAGAATATCCCCCCCCCTTTTTTTAATATCATTAATCCATTGGAGTAACCAGGTCAATTTTCCTTAGGATTTACCACATTCTATATTTGGCTGATTGCTTCTTTGTGGTATCATTAAATCTTTCCTTTTTTTCCTGTATTTTCTATAAATGATAGATCTAGAGGTTTGATTAGCTTTAGGTTCAACCTTTGGCAAGAATATTTCATGAGGTGACTCTTCTTTGTATATCACAAGAGGACAAACATAATATCTGTGTTCTCCCCATGTCATATGTTAATATTAATTGGTTTAAGTACTGTTTTCCTAATCCATCTACCCTTCTACCCAATGATTTTAGCATTTCCTGATGACATTCTTTGCTTAGGCCCATGATTTTATTAGGGATTGCAAAATGGTCATCTTCTAACTTATCATTCTCTGCTCATTTATTAGGAGTTTTTCTATGAATAGGAACTTTCCCTTATGAACTATTTTGTTAACCTGAAATTCAATTTTTATAAGAAAGGTAATATAAATGCTAGATTGTTTTCATTAACTGGTTGGCAGTATTTATTAAAGCTGAAAATATTCATGTCTATGAATATGTCTCTCCTACATATATAAACATACTTCCATATGTGTGACACATGCACAAATGTGTGCATATATGCATGTAACACATATGTTCTACCAAAATGTACCATATGTTCAATAAAAGACATAAAAAATAGGAGCTCTGTTTGTTATATTCCCAATTGGAAATAATGAAACAGTCCATCAACAGTTGAAGGAATAAATTGTGGTATATTGATACAGTCAAGTAAGGTATGCAATGAGAATGAACAAACTGAAAATGGACACAATAAATGGATGCATCACATAAACACAAGGTCAAGTTAAAGAAGAAAGGCACAAAAGTGTCTGTACCATATTGCTCCCATGAAAACAAGCTCAAAACCTAGCAGAGCTATTGTGTGTTAGAAATCTGGATGGAGGGGACCTGTGGGGGTGAGTAGTGACTAGAAAGGCCAAAGGGACTCCCACCATTGTTCATTTCTGTTGTATTGTCCTAATCGCTGGGCGCTTTTAGTGGCGAGAACTAGAAAATGCTTTTTTAGGCAGAAAATATGTAATGAGTGCATACTAATTTTTCCCAATCAAATTAAAATTGCCATGTTATTACTAATTTTCGTTGATTTTATACTTCTACCTCTGCTTTTCTAGGCAGAAAATTTACTACCTATTGATATTAAGATAACTACTTGTTTCAATCACATAATTTTTATGTAAAAATTTAACACCGGAAGTGTTAAATAATGCTACTAAAAATAAGACTATTGAATGATGTTAAAGATTTCTTTGTGATACTTTTTGATCTTCAGATATGTCCGTAGGGAAATAAAACTTTCCTGGATTGCTCAGCATTCCTATAAAAAGTCCTAGACCTACAGAAGCATCTTTATATACCATGAGAATTAGATATGGAGCCATGTGTCCATATCTAATTGATTGCCCTAACATGAAAGACATGTAAAACTTCTTATCTCCTGGAGAAAGTCAAATGACTACCTCTGAGTTCCTAAGTGAAGCTCCCACTGTGCCAGCAAGACTGGGACATCTTCCTAGGAATTTATATTTTCAAGGAGGAAAGGACTGGGAACTAGGAGATATCTATATATGAAATATGTAACTTTTCTATGAGGACATATACCTGCTGATTCCTGAAGGAAGAGGTTCCAAGTAATCAATGGGTCAGTAGCTGCATCTCTAAATAGTAAAAGCTGAGACGGAGAGAGAGAGACTATTGAGACTAGTGGATCTATTTGGCTCTGGGGGAGCTTTTTTAAAAATATTTTTTTAATCCTCACCAGAGGACATTTTTTTTATATTGCTTTTAGATAGAGAGAAAGAGTGGGGGGTGGAAAGAGAGAGAGAAACATCGAAGTGAGAGCAAAACATCAACATGAGAGAGAAACATTGATTGGCTGCCTTCCTGTGTGCACCCTGGTCAGGGATTGAACCCGCAACCTGGATATGTGCCCTGTCCAGGAATCGAACCCTGCAAACTTTTGGCCTGTGAGATGACGCTCCAACCAACTGAACCACACTTTCCAGGGCAGTCAGCTCTTATTTACATACCAAAGTATGGAGGTAGGTAATAAGGACAGTTGCCTTTTCCCCCTTTATACAAAGAGAAAAACTATTTTTCCGCAACACTCTCCAATGGGGGTATTTGGCCGCTCACATAAGAGAATTTACCTTCAGCTCTTATGGGTTACCCTGGAGTTAAGGACTAAGGCAAGAGGAACTAACCCACTTATTATTTACTGTGGAGTATTCAATAAGAACTTTGCCTCTGACCCAAAACACCTTGTGTGAAGTTATTGTTATCAAAGGGAATTTATATTCCAAGTCTGCCCATGATGAGAGGTACATCCACATTATCTTTCCAGTGGCCTGATAGCTGTTTCTCCAGTACTGTTCTTTCCAAGTGCCCTTTGCCTCTTCCCATAAATCAGAGTAGATATATGTTTCAGGCCCTCTCTCCTCCAGCATGAGGTAGACAAGGAGATGTGCCATCTGACGTTCTGCCCTCTGAGAAGATTTCCTTTACCACTTGTT